AAAAAAAAAAAAAAAGGAAGAAATTAGATCCCCAAAGGCATCCAGCCCTGCCCGGTGTGTGCTAAGCTTTCTCCACCAGAGTCTGTTTTCCTCTCTCTGTAGGACAGTGCTGGACAAAGTGCTAAATCTCCCGGATAACATAAAGATCTAATTCTTCATTGTGGTTCTGTTAAATTTCACTCTAACTTTTTCTTGGAGTTCTAGGTGTGGCTTTTTCCCTCCCCTCTCCTTGCTTGCCGCCCCCCCTCTGTGTGGCTAGAACAGAAGGATGTAACCATTTCCTAGAGTGGCTTGAGTGTACAGCAAATGGAATAAATGAGAGAAAGTGTTGGGTTAGGAGGCCCGGTGAAGAGCAGGGAGTTAGTTCTTAATTCTTCTGGCCTTGGGAAGCTGTGGGGGGTGAGTAGAGGAAGGTCACAAGAGCCATCATAGTCATTGTTACCGTAAGGACCAAAGCATCATCTCCAGAGCTTAGAAGGAAAAGAAAGAAACGAAATGTAGGCAGTTTAGGGAGTGCTGGGCTGTTTACTAAAGGAACTAGCTGTTCAGCTTTCAGCACCTTGAATGAAGTCCTGGAAATTCCTCTTAGTGAAATGAAATGCCCCTCTTTAGCCAGAAGATGGGGCTGGACTCCCTTGGACACAAACTGCAGAGGCTTCCCAGGAACTAGTTTCTTCACTGACTTTGCCGGTAGCTCGGGCCAGCAGCACACAACTGGGCAGTTGTCTAAAGTACACTGAGACCTCAGCCCAACCCAGGGATTCTGATTGCTTCAGTCTGGGGTGTGCTCTGGGTAAGGGGTTCTCAAACTGCTGCACGTTTGAATCTTTAGGAGATTTTTCAGCCTACACTGAAAAAACCAGAATGCTCAGGGTAGGAACCAGCCAGCAGTGGTTTTCTTCTTTTTCTAGATGAGCTAGGTGATTCCAATGGGCAGCAAAGTTTGGGAACACTGCCCTGAGCTACGTGATTTGAAAACCTCCCCAGGTGATTCTGACTTGCAGCAGGATGGCAGGTACTGGCTGAGGGCTGCAGGTACCTCTTTGTTATAAAGTTAGAGTGGACCGGGGTGGGGAGTACAGATGTCCAGGGAGGATTGCTGCCCATTGCCCTCCCTTATGCTGTGGATGGAGGCCTGGTCTGCCTCTCCTTGCTGGCAGTCAGCCCAGGAATTCATAAAAGTGACAGTGAGCAAGATCTTAGCCTGACAGAGAGGAGGTGGCAAAGAACAGTTGAGAGCAGCTGCCATTCAGGACCCTTTCTATCTGTGTGTCCCCCCAGCTTTGTGACGACAAACTGTGCTCTGCAGTTTTCATCCCGTGGAATCCGACCTGGCCTCACCACTGTCCTAGCTCGGAACCTGGACAAGAACACCGTGGGCTACCTGCAGTGGCGCTGGGGCATCCAGTCAGCCATGAACACCAGCATCGTCCGGGACACTAAGACCAGCCACTTCACGGTGGCCCTGCAGGTGAGCCAGGGAGCTGCTGTGGCTTGAGGAAGGTGTCCAGGCACTCAGCCGGCTTCCTGCATGGGGCCAGGCTGTGGAGAGCATCACAGAGTGTTGGGATAACCTTGCCCTCAGGCACGGGTAGCTGTATGCAGATTATCCTGAAGCAGAATGACATCTGGGGGCACTGGTCAACAGAAACCTAAAGCAGACTCATTATACTCAGTGCCACCCTGGCCAGCCTGGTGAAGGCTGCTGTTACCAGCTGTTGCCACTAGGAACATAGACTCAGCATTGCCAGAATTTTTCTTTTCTTTTTTTAGATTCTCACTCTGTCGCCCTGAGTAGAGTGCTGTGGCATCATCATAGCTCACAGCAACCTCAAACTCTTGGCCTTAACTGATCTTCCTGCCTCAGCCTCCTGAATAGCTGAGATTACAGGTGTCTGCCACCATGCCCGGCTAGTTTTTCTACTTTTAGTAGAGACTGGGATTTCTGTTACTCAGGCTGATCTCCAGCTCCTGAGATCAGGCAATCCTCCCACCTTGGCCTCCCAAAGTGCTAGGATTATAGGCATGAGCCACCTTACCAGCCCAGGAATTTTTTTTTTCATGAGAAACTAGAAAACTGGATTTTTGTATACAGACTCCTAGTTTTGTTTGTTTATTTTTATTTTATTTTATTTTATTTTAAATAGTCTCACTTTGACTGTGAGACTTGGTCAAGTGCCATGGCATCATAGCTCACTGCAATCTCAAACTCCTGGGCTTAAGCAATTCTCTTGCCTTAGCCTCCCAAGTAGCTGGGACTACAGGTGCCTGCTACAATGCCCAGCTATTTTCAGAGATGGCATCTCACTCTGGCCCAGGCTGGTCTGGAACCTGTGAGCTCAGGCAATCCACCTGCCTCGGCCTCCTAAGTGCTAGGGTTACAGGTGTGAGCTACCACACCCAGCCTTTAGTCTCCCAGTGTTTAAATAATGACTGCTACAAAATTCTCATACACATAGTGCAGCTGCCAATCATAGCCTGTGCATGGTGGGTGCCCAGAGCTGTGGGAGGGAGCTGCACGTGTGTTTACTCTCTGTCTCCTCAGCTGGGGATCCCTCACTCCTTCGCACTGATCAGCTATCAGCACAAATTCCAAGATGACGATCAGACTCGTGTAAAAGGATCCTTGAAGTAAGTCCCGGCCTCACACAGACTGCTGGCTCTGTGTGGGTGTTTCTCAAAGTGCAGCCGGGTGGCATGAGTTGCTGACTCACGTGAATGTCTGTGTGATGTTTCTTGAGAGCCGCCTGTGGGAAGGCTCTGGGCTACAGTCCCAGCCCTCAAAGAAGGCAGAGTCAGATGGAAGGACTACACTGTGTGCATCCCACCCTGGCTCGGCCAGTGACCAAGGGCACCTGCAGTTGGCAGGTGGTGGTAGGGATTGAATGGGGACCCAGCCTCTTCACAAGTGACTAGAGTCTGCTCCCCGCAGGGCAGGCTTCTTCGGGACAGTGGTTGAGTATGGGGCCGAGAGGAAGATCTCCAGGCACAGCGTCCTGGGTGCTGCTGTCAGTGTCGGGGTCCCTCAGGGCGTTTCTCTCAAAGTCAAGTAAGTTGAACTGGGTTCTTTTCAGCCAAAGAAGGTCTGGCAGCTTGACTCAGCTGGGCTGAAGCTAAGGTTCGGGTGGAGAAGCCTTTGCTTTGTAATTTCATTTTCAGAGACAGTTCCTTCTACCTTTGGTGCATAAGCAGATGTCAGGGCATGTACCACCACACCTGGCTAATTTTTTTGTTTTGCAAAGATAGAGTCTAGCTGTGTTGTCCAGGCTAGTCTTAAACTCCTGGTCTCAAGTGATCCTCCTGCCTAGAACTCCCAGAGTGCTGGGATTAGAGGTGTGAGCTGCCATGCTTGGGCTTGTTTTCATTCTCTGCAAGTGTATTATATGTCTTTGAGCCTAATTAAAATGGCTGTTTAGGGCTCAGCACCTGTAGCACAGTGGGTATGGCCCCAGCCATACACCAAGCCTGGTGGGTTCGAACCTCGCCTGGGCCAGCTAAACAACAATAACAACTCCAACAAAAAATAGCTGGCATTGTGGCGGGCCCCTGTGGTCTCAGCTACTTGGGAGACTGAGGCAAGAGATTTGTTTAAGCCCAAGAGTTTGAGGTTACCCTGAGCTGTGATGCAATGGCACTCTACCAAGAGCAACATAGTAAGACTCTGTCTCAAAGAAAAAGAAAAACAGAAACTCCGTGTTCTTTTATGTTTCTCTAAAAAAAGTATTGATTTTTCATTTTAGAAGGCAGTTCACTTGGCTGAACTCAAACTCCAAACTCGATTTCTTTGTGGTGGCAGTCGCCAAAATCTCAATATAGTTATTTTGTTTTAGCTAATCCGCTCAGTAGATCAGGGGGTCATTGTGAGATTTGTGCCACATTCATACACATAGTTTGATGCTCCCCATTTCTGGCTGTAATTTTTGGCCATTCTCCATCAGCTGCTGTGTTTCCCAAACTCAGCTCTGTCTCTTCAGCGTAATAAGTTTCTTTCCAAGTTCTAGCCAAGCCATATGTTACTGACTGAGACTTACTCTCAGGCTGAAAGCTGTTAAAGAAAAAAATCAGCTGCGGTGGTGACTCACGCCTGTGGAGGCAAGACAGGTGGATTGCCTGAGGTCAGGAGTTCTAGACCAGCCTGAGCAAAAGCAAGACCCCATCTCTACTAAAAATAGAAAAAACTAGCCAAATGTTATGTCAGGCACCTGTAGTCCCAGCTACTCAGGAGGCTGAGGTAGGAGGATCACTTGAGCCAAGGAGTTTGAGGTTATTGTAAGCTATGACGCCACAGCACTGTACCCAGAGTGACAAAGTTAGACTGTGACTTAAAAACAAAAACAATCCATGAACTTTGTGGCTCCATGACTCTTCCAAGCCCCAGCCCTCCCCGTAGCACCTGCTGTCCTCCAGCTGCTCCTCAGCACCACATGCCCTCTGCTGCTTCCATGTGGTCCAGAGGTTACAGGTTGGTCCCGTGGGAGCTCCTCCTGGAAGTAGAACCTCCTTCACTCACTCACTCTGGAAATCTTCATAACCTTATTTCAAACACATCAGTTCAGGACAAAGATGGGACTCTGTCTCCTGGAGACTTTCTTCTAAGGCCTCTGACCTAGCACAGCTACAGGGGACATTTATCCTGGGGAAGCATTACTCTGTTGTGTTGACCTCTGACCTCAGCAGACAGTGGGACTATTCTTCTGTCACATGTGTCCAGTTTGGCAGCCCAGCTTCTAAATAGGGAACCAGCGGAGGGGCCTGGGTTATGAAACAGGCAGATTCTGAGCTCCTTGTAACTTGTGTCTGCGGGTCTGAGAGGGAGCTTCCTGTGACTGAGACCCCCGTTACCTTTTCCTGGGAACCTCACTCATCCTGGGTGTTTGATGTTTCCTCCCTCCCAGGTTAAACAGGGCCAGCCAGACATACTTCTTCCCCATCCATCTGACGGATCAGCTTCTGCCCAGTGCCGTGTTCTATGCCACCGTGGGGCCTCTCGTGGTCTACTTTGCTATGCACCGTCTGATCATCAAACCTTACCTCAGGGCTCAAAAAGAGAAGTGAGTTTACAGCATGCCATGGGGACGTCACTAAACCCTGCACTGCGGTCTTCTCATCATTAAAGTGGGGATAATAACAGGACCTACCCCACAGGGTTATTAAGAAAATTGAATGAGGCTCGGCGCCTATAGCTCAACC